GGGCTGTGACGTCACACAGCCCGCTCTGTGATGTCATGCCGCCCACTCTATGATGATACAGGCTGCTCTATGATGTCACACAACCCGCTCTGTGACCTCGCACAGCCCACTCTGTGACGTCACACAGCCTGCTCTGTGATGTCATGTAGCTCATTTTATGACATCGCACAGCCCACTCTATGATGTCATACCGCCCACTCTGTGATGATACAAGCTGCTCTGTGACTTCACACAGTCTGCTCTATGATGTCACACAGCTGGCTCCGTGACCTCACACAACCCACGCTGTGACCTCGCACAGCCTGCTCTGTGATGTCACGTAGCCCATTTTATGACATCGCACAGCCCACTTTATGATGCCACGCAGCCTGCTCTGTGATGTCACACAGCCCACTCCATGATGACACTGCCTGCTCTGTGACGTCATACAGCCAGCCCTGTGATGTTACACAGATCATTTTGTGATGTCACACCGCCTGCTCTGTGACGTCACACAGCCAGGTCTGTGACCTCACACAACCTGCTCTGTCACCTCACACAGCCCGCTCTATGACGTCACACCGCCACGGGCGTGCCCTGTCCCCCGCCCCGGCGCAGCGGCGTCACCTTTGGGCAGGGGCGGGCAGCAGGCAGCCAGGCGCATGCGGGCACCCTCTGCCTGCAGCCCGCAGCGCCCGTAGGTGCCCAGCAGCTCCCGCAGGCTGCAGAAGCGCCGGGCCACCCCCGAGAGCCAGAAGTTGCCGTCCTTGTCCCTGCGGATCAGGCAGCGCTTGTAGTCCTGGCCGGAGCGGGTCTGCGGGGCGAGAGCCAGGCTCAGCGGCGCGGGGTGCCCCCAGGAGCCCCCGAGCCCCTCCTGCCCTGCGGGTGCCCGCGGCAGCCCCGTGCCAACGGGCCAGCGCCGGTGGCACCGTCCCTGCAAGCACCAGCTCTCAGCCCTGCGTCCCTCCCCGCTCCCGGTGACACCCACAGCACCCGGCACGGGAGCCTGCGTGATGCTGTGCAGCGCCGGCACCCCGGTCCCCAGCCGGTGCCGGTGCCGGTCTCACCTCGGCGCAGATGGTCAGCAGGTAGCTGTCGAAGTCCTGCGGGCTGCGGCGCAGCAGGTACAACCCCGGGCGGCTCCCCGCCACCTTCAGCTTGTTCACCGCAAACTCCGAGCTGCGAAGGGCAGGGCTGGGTCGGGCGCAGCGGGGTCCCGCTCGGGGAGACCCCGGGGCCCCCCGCTGCTCACCCCTCCGCCACGCTCTCCCCAGACCCGGTGGGCACCGGGGTGGCCTGAGCATCGCCTGAGCAGCGGGCAGGTTGGGGACCGGTGCTCGCCGCTCTCGTGGCTCCTCCCCAAGTGATGTCTTCCCCCATCACCCGTGGGCTGTGGGTGGCGAGGTGGGGGGTCCCCGGCACCCACCTGATGGGCCCGTGGCACTGGTTCTCCACGTCCTCCAGGAGCCGGGGAGGGGCCACCTCCTTACAGAAGTAGTGGTGGGCATCTGCCGTCAGGCGGTAGTAGCCGTCGACGAGAGCCACAAAGGAGCGAGCTTCCCGCAGCGTGGGGAACTCCACCTCCTGGGGCCAGGCGGGGGGTCAGCCTCGCACCAGCCCCGGCCCCCCGCCCCGCCGGGGCTCCCCCCACGCCTCCCCGGCTCACCAGCACCCGGTTGTCCGTCTTGGTGAGGGTGACGATGCGGTTCTCCACTGGGCCGCCCTCCCGGCTTGCCTGCTTGATGCTGATGTCGGCGATGTCGGGGAAGTCGCAGAAGTGCTGGCGGCTCTGCGGGGGACACGACCGGGGTTGGCCTCCACGTCCCCCACCTCGCCCCACCGCGGGAACCCCCGGCACAGCCGCCCACCCGCACCTCGGAGCTGCCACAGCTCCAGGAGACGCCGCTCTCGCCGGCCACGTGGATGGCAATGTCCGTGGTGGAGCCGGGTGAGCGCACATGGAAGCTCTCCTCCGCCCAGTGCCGTTGCAGCCGCTCCAGGTCCAGCAGGTACTTGAGCTTCAGGTAGCATCCGTCCGTCTGGCAGCCCCCGATCTTCCGCAGGGATTTGCTGAAGCGGCGGCGGATGCGCTTGCGGGTGAGGAAGCTGTGCTGCTGGATCTGGCACCGCAGCGGCTCGGGGATGCAGGACTTGTAGCTGCCAGGGACGGGGAGGTGGGCAGTGGTGGGTGCTGGGCCGTCCCCAGGGACGCTGGGCTGTCCCCACGGGTGTCGGGCTGTCCCCACGGCCCCCAGCCCCCCCAGCTCACCTGACGTGGCTGAAGACCTCGTCGGGGCTCTGCCGCTTCTCCTTGGCGATGCGCAGCATGTCCAGCACGGCCAGGCTCAGGCACTCCTCCTGCGTGGGCAGGCTCAGCGCCACTGCCACGCGTCCCCCGATGAAATCGCTGCGGGACTGGGGAGGGCGCGGAGGCTGGGTGGGGGGTCCCCGCGCCAGCCCCCCGCTCGGTGCATCTCCTGCCCGGGGACACTGCAGCCAGGAGGCCCGATGCACCCCAAGACCCCCAGTCCATGCGCGAGACCCTTGCAGGTATCGTCCCCCCCAGCTAACGGGAGCTTCCAGGGTGGCCCCTGCTGACGCCCCCGTCACGCTGGGCTGGCTGTGGGGTGGCTCCAGCCCCAGCCCCGTGCCCCAGTGCCCTCGTGGGTCACATCCTGCCCCGGGCTCTGGTTTCCTGCTGCTGTCCGGGGGGCAGCGGAGCCGGCTCCATCCCTGGGGCATGCATCGCCCGGGGGCCACAGCGACCCCCATCTCAGCAACCTGGGGTGCCCCATGCCTCGTGTGGGGTGCCCACAAGCAGCTCCAGCTGAGCGGGGTAGGAGGACCCATGTCCTGCAGGCGTCGTGGCCAGGGACCGGTGGGTGCTGGAGGAGGAGGAGGAGAGTGGCACGGCCCAGGGTGGCGAAGGGCATCACTACGCTGAGCTTAACGTGTCCCACACACCCGAGAAGCCAGGTGGGACCTCACCCTGCGGCCCCAGGTGTGGGGACAGGGATGGCAGCCTGGCAGGGCTCACCTGGGCAAAAAGGTAGTCGATGACGGGGTAGTCCAGGACGGGGCTGGCCCGGTCATTCAGCAGCTGGAAGCGGTGGGACTGTCCCAGCCCACACCAGTTGGGGAAGAAGAACCTGATGGGGAGAGTGGAGGGGGCTCAGTGCCACGTTCCCCCATAGCGCACAGCCCCTATCAGAGACTCCCCAGGGAGCCGGGCTGGGGCTGGGACGGCCGCGTCCCCGCGGGCTGTACCTGATCCTGTACACCACGACCTGGCTGCGGGAGTCATCGACGGTGAAGAGGTGGTTGGGAGGGAACCAGCAGCTGAGATCCTCAGTGGCCAGGGCAAAGAGTGGGTGGCAGACGGGCAGCACGCCTGGGGACAGAGCGGTGCTGTGACCTCCACCGAGGACAGGCACGGCCGGTACCCCGAGCCCGCAGCCGCTGCCCCGAGCCTGCCGGGGGGGGGGGGACGATGCTCACCGCAGGCTTTGGCAGCGCGGATGCACAGCTCCTCAGCCGTGTACTCGCCGAAGGTGAAGGTGAGGACGCCGGCGGTGGTGCCGGGGGGGCTGCGGGGGGCAGGTGCCTGGTGGTACAGGTACACCTGGAGGGTGCCGGTCTCGGTGGAGGAGAGGCTGCAGGAGCGTTCCCCGATCAGCGGGGTGTCCTCGCCCAGCGGGGCCATGGCGGGCGCTGCAAGGACAGGGGGGCTCAGCTGGCAGCATGGTCCCCCGGTGACGGTACCGTCCCCCTCCCCGGTGTGACCCCCATGTGGGGCAGGACCTTGCCCCACATGTGCCCTTCCCCACCCGTTTCCTTCGGCATCCTCCCCGGGGTAAAACCCCGCAGCCAAGCCTGCGGCATCTCCAGGCCTGGGGTCAGCCCGTCCTGGGAAGGATGAAGGGGAAACTGAGGCACACAGCCATTTTTACAGGCAGCCACCCTCCCCAGCCCGTCCCACGGCTGCTCCTCATCACCAGCCGGCCCAGGGCCGAGCCCTCATGCCCTGCATCGCTCCCAGGCGTGGGCAGGGAGGACCCAGCTCCATCCCTGTGCCCGGCTGGGCTGGCCAGACCCCACGAAACCCCCTGTGCCGGTGTGGTACCTGCTGCCGTGCCGGCGGCCTCACTGGCACCCGTGTGCTCCGGCCCTGGGGAGCGGGTCCCAGGCAGGGCTGCGCTGCCGTGTTGGGGCTCCTGGGCTGCGTAGGCGGCTGCGAGCGAAGGATAGAGTCAAAAAATCCCCTCGGTGACTTCCTTCCTGCCAGCAGCCTCCCCGGCGGGTGGCTTCCTGGCGAGGGAGGGGGTACAGGGTGGGAGACAGAAAGGAGCTGCCCCAGGGTGCAGGGACCAGCCGGGGGGTGAAGGGGCAGGGAGCCCCGGGCACCCCACTTGGTGCTGGGCGCCCCATTGAGCACCCCAATGGACCCGGGCGCCTTGCTGGTCCTGCCGCCTCCTGGTGCTGTGGGCACCGCAGGGATGGGTGACGCTCAGCCAGGGCATCCCAGCCCCCTCCCTGTCCCACCCCACCGCGTGGGGCGAGGGGCTGGGTGCTGCCCGCGCACCCCTGGCCCCCCTGCACCCCTTTGCTGGGACCCTCCCTGCCCCACTCACGGCCCCACCGGGATGGGCTCAGCCCCTTCACCCCAATCCTGCCCCGGCCAGCCCAGCCCCAGGGCACCGTCGGGGCCACCGTGGCGCCGGGGCTGCCGTGGGGCTGGGCATGTGCCTGGCCCCGGTGCCGTGCGGCATCGCACGCACCCGCCTGCGGATGTGGCCGGGCCCAGCAGCCACCACTCGTTGTTTTTCCCCTTTCTGCTGCTTTAATCAGCTCAGCAAGGAGGCAAAACCGGGGGCGAGGCAGGGAAGGGGGTCCTGGCCAGCCCTGTCCCTGGGGATGGGCGTTGGGGACAAGGCCACCAGGGCTGGAGCAAGACCCTAGGGACCAGGGACCCTCCTCTGCCATGCGGCAATGCCTCGGAGGGGACAGTGCCCCTGTGGTGGCTGTCCCCATGTCGGGGCTCTTCCCTGGTCTCAAGCCCAGCCTCGTCCCCAGGGTTCAGGGCAGGAGGAAGAAATCCCCGTGGGACAAACCTGCCCAGGAGCCAGGCAAGACAAGGCAGTGCTTGTGCTGGGGAACGAGGAAGCTGGGCCAGGGTGCCACGTATCCCAGCGGCCAGAGCCATCCCACTGGCCCTGCGTGCCCCAGGGTCAGCGGCCGGCTCCCGCGCTCGCCGTGCTGCTCGCCAGGGTACGGGCTGCTGTGCGGCCCCTGCGGGGGGCCCAGGGGTAGCCGGCGCGGGGGGGG